TTTTCTTGAAGGTCCCCGGGTCGTATCGGTCCGGAAAAATCGCCGAAGGTAAACTATTCCACAGAGAGGTTGTACGCGGAAGAAAACTCCTTTTGAAACGTACAGTGGTGGACCATCAAGCATCCAGATGGTATGGATGGTATCGGGACGTTTGACGCGTAGTGCGTTTACGAAATTTGGCGGCTGGGATTAATCCGAATAATTCCTCAGAGCACTCTCCATGGTATATGCGAAAGAAAATGCAAAGAGATGCAACATCTCTTCGCAGTGCCAGTGAATCGAGCCGATCGGAAAGCACTCGGTCGTAGACGATTCGAGCCACTCTGCGCTGGATGCGGTCGTGGAAGGAGCTGGTACTGGGGAGCCCCAGCCCAGAGATGGAAACAGTATTCCATGAGCGGCCGAACCTGCGCCTTGTAAAGTTGCAGGCGGTGTGCCGGCATGAAATACTGTCCCGCTCTGCTGAGCACGCCAAGCTTTTTAGAGGCCAATTTGGCCTTCTCTTCCAAGTGACCACGAAACTGCACGTCACTCGATATGTCGACGCCGAGGATTCCGATACTGTCTGAGGCAACAAGTGGAGTGCCTTGAAACTGAGGAGATACGACAAAGGGGTTCTTTTTAGCGGTTAACGCGCAAACTTGTCTCTTCTGGGGGTTAAACTGGACTAGATTTAGCCGCCCCCAATCCGAGACTCTGTTCAGCTAAGACTCGACTTCAGTCACAAGTTTGACCCGGCACTCGGAGACGTTTTCCCGAGAAATATTGTCTCAGCCGGTGTAAGAGCATCACCAGTGCTATCACCTGCATAGCAATTAATGTTACGGTACGGTGATAACACGCAGCCTTGTGGAACACCAGCATTAATAGGCTTGCAATCGGAGCTTGCACCGTCTACAACGATCTTGATGTGCCGATCTGCAAGAAAGCTGGTGATCCAATCGCACAATTTCTCGGGAAGCCCATAGGAAGGGAGCTTCGAAAAAAGTGCTTTGTGCCAAACCCGATCGAAGGCCTTCGCAATGTCCAAACTAACGGCCAATGCCTCCCCCTAGGACTCTACTGCCTCCGCCCATCTGTGAGTTAGGTAGACCAGAAGATCACCAGCTGACCGACGACGGCAAAAACCGTATTGTCGGTCACTAATTAGCTGGTGATCCTCAAGGTACCAAGGGTGGATGAATTCTTCCGTCCGTTAGGAGTACCGGAAAAGACGCGTCAAAACCGGTGCCAACTTTGAAGCACACGTCCTCAGCACAATTGGGGGGATTCCGTCAGGCCCACTCGACTTGTGGATATCTAGGGAGATGAGTGCTTTGCGAAACGAAGCGCTGTGTGAACTGCACTTCCGGCATGGAGCACTCACACCGCGTGATGGTCGCGGCGTACTCCCCCCGTCATCGGGAGTCGAGTTGGACGCAAAGAAAGAGCCTAGAAGATCGGCTTTCTCCTTTACGGTATGGGCCAGTGAGTCGTCCTTCCTGTGCAGAGATGGAAGAGATGGCTGACAGAAATTCCCCTGGACAGCCTTGGCAAGAGACCAGAATGCACGGGTTCCAGAAGGAAGGCGCACTACTTTCTCGCCAATTCTGCCTATGTGCTCTGACTTTGCCTTGGCATGATCTTTTGAAGGACCCAGAGGCGGAATTATACTTCTTTTTTAGAGCTCTGGTGTTTACATCCCGGGACGCTGATGCGTCAGCCTAGGCTTGGTAGCACTCCTGCTTATAGCATGATGCTATTTTACAGGAGCGACCAAACCATGGCTGAAATTTGCCTCCAATGGGCACCACAGAGGAAGGAATAAAAAGTTCCATACCCTGAAGTACCACATCGGCGACAGAATCCGCAACAACGTTGGGATCGTCCGGCGAGAAGCAAACCCGCCCCCAAGGGTAGGATGCAAAGAAAGACCGCATCCCATCCCAATCGGCTGACCTATAGTGCCAAACACGGCGGCAACCTGCAGAATGCAACTGCGATTTCAGCGTGAGTGGCACCACACTCCGGACAAGACAATGGTCCGAGGAGCCTAAAGGGGCGTCGACGGAAATCTGATATCCGTCCGGGTGAGTGGTCAGCAGAACGTCCAACAGGGAAGTTGCATGATCCTCCACATATTGAATCCGCGTAGGCGAAGTAACCAGTTTTGTCAAACCATATGCCAAGGCAAAATCATGATCAGTTAAACTTGAACTAAGCCATTCGGCATGATAGGCGTTAAAGTTGCCGAGGATCACGATCTCTGCGCAGGGGATCTGCTGTAGCAACGAATCTGTAGCCATTTGGACGTGGTCGAAGAGTCGGTCTATTTCAGTATTACCGCTATGGGACCTATAGAGGCACCCGTAGACGCGCAGATGTTCGTCGCTGTCTACGCGTAGCCAAAGGATGGATAGGTCCCAACCTTCAAGTCTGCCGAGGCGTCGAGAACAGATGTCCTCTCTGATGTAAACGCAAACTCCAGCCCGAGGCACAAAGGAGTGTTCCAGTTTGTACCCCGGGTAGGAGAGATACGAGACATCAGCCGGAGAGGACACCTGCGTCTCGGTCAAAAAGAGCAGAGCCGGCCTCGCCGTCTCGAGATGGTAGTGGACGGCGTTTAGGTTAGAGTGAAGTCCCCTGATATTGCAGAAATTCACGGACAGCGTGGCAGGGGTCGCCTTGGTCTTGTTGCTCCGTTTTCCCCGAACAGTTGTAGTCTTGAGCGGAATGTTGCCCCCCCCTCCCCGGAATACGTGGGGCAGCCTGAGCACCCACGCTCATAAGTGGAGAAACATGGTCGTGGATGCTCAGCGAGGGATTTTTCAGGGATGCTGGTACCCTCCTGGGGTAGTCTATCATCATTCAATTCCGCTACCATGTTGATGGGGGGGGGGGGTTGGGCCTCCGGCCAACTGTACTCATCAGACGAAGGACGAGGAAGCAGAGCTTCCACTTCACGCCGGTATTCTGTGAGGTCGTGATACCACCCCGGATTGAGCCGGCCCATACGTGCAACAGCAAAGCTGCCGCGTGGCTCTACCACTGTTAAATCTATCGGAATCCATGAGATATTTGATCTATCGGAAACCATGAGATATTTTAGACATTTCCCATATTCACATATTTTATACGTTGTAGAGCCACGCTGCAGCTTTATTATGGTTGTTGCACGAATGGATCGGCTCGATCGGGGATGAACCACCCTCTCACGGAATACCAGCGTAAAATAGCAGCTTAATACTACTGTGTTTCGTATGGTTAGTGTAGAGATCTGGAGACCCTTTTTACTGGAAACGAGGCATTTCATCTTAGTCCTCAGTGGTGACAACGTGTCTGCGTTTTGATTCTTAATCCAGGATAAATGAAAATGCCTATGGGCCACAGAATCCACTCATCATTAGGTGGACTGTATGCTCGTTTGTCACCCCTATACTATAAAAAATATTCGCCTCCATCAACACCCGTGAGAAATTTGGTAATGGATTTACCGGATTATAAGTGGACGCTGTCCGCCAAAGATACCTACATTTATCTCCAATCACGAATCAAAATGCAGATGCGTTGTTACCCTTGAAGTTTAGGCTATCGTACGAAATACAGAATTTAAGCTGCTATTTTACGCTGGTATCATGTGATAATTGTTACCATTTTTTAGGTGAGGTTTTGTTAGCTTTTGGTCACGGGCTTAAGTCTGAACGTAGTCTAGCCATCTCCGTAAGACAGAACTATATACAGTGTGAGTATGTAATCACATGTATGTGTCACAAGTGCATTCTATATTCTATCACTCGCAGATTCTGATGGGACGGCAATCCAAAAACAAGCGAAGGCACAGGCACAAGGCACAAGACCAACAGTTTTACGTACGTTCCGAGGCACAAGGGTGAAACATCGCTAACTTCCTGATTCCGGACTGCTATTGGGAATTTATTTACAGAAAACCCAATAACTCATTTCAGCCCGAAACGATATTTAAACTTGGGATCCTCGCTATCAGCAGGCAGTTATTATAAACTGTTGTGCTGGTTACACATTATTTCGCGATTTACCATTATCATATTCATCATTAAAATTGAAGGTTATAGGGGCAAAACAAGAAATGTCACAAAAAAATCCAAAAGTTAATTTATGATGGCAACATTCTTATTTCTCAGTGTATTTTTATTTGGCATTATACAAAAAGCGTAAAAACAAGCATTGTCAGATGTATTACTAGAATTTCAAAATTGTGTGCAGGAACAAAACAGGGAAAGTCCATGTTGTAACGGAACGTAAGAAGGAATTTCCTAGCTGTCAAAATATTTAAGTCAACTTTGAGGTTATCTCGAGTGTTTGTTCGGAGTTGCTGTTTGTGATTTGAATAGATATTAATTGTTATTTCGATTTACCGCTGTAAAAATGAGTAATAGTGATGAAGAAATCAATTTTTTTTGTGCATAACACAAAGAAACGAAAGAAAACAGGAAGAATGCGTGAAGTGATGAAAAAATTGAGAGTTTCTACGTACGAGCCAGGAGATGATTGCAGGTGTAAAAGATTGAAATGTTTTGATAGAATATCATCAGAGCAACGTACAAAACTACTTAAAGACTTCAACAGCATGAACTACACAGATGAACAAAATATATATTTATGTGGCTTGATGAATGTGTGTTCAATGAAAAGGAGCCGAAGTAGAAAAACAGAAGAAATGGATGCTAATTTCCATCAAACGAATTTCACTTACAAAGTGAGGGTGCTAGAAAATGATGAGACAAAAGAAGAACCTGTTTGCTACAAAGCATTTTTATCCATATTTGGCATTACCAAAGGAAAACTTGAACATCTTCAAAAGCCATTGAAAATGTTAGGCACCAAGTGACAAAAGAGGCAAGTCAGGTTCAAATAAGAGATTAGACAATAACATTAAAGATTTGATATGTAATCATATAAAATCTTTAAAGGACGGCAAAGTCACTACAGCTTGAATGATACAAAAAAAGGAATATCTACCTGAGGACCTAAACATAAAGAAAATGTATAAGTTGTACTTAGATGCATACGAGTCACAAAATCAAGTATCTTATGAAACTTACAGAACCATCTTTAATACAGAGTTAAATATATCATTTGGCTATCCCAGGACTGATACCTGTAGTGTTTGTGATGAATTCAAAATAAAAGCGAAGGCATTGAGAGCTGAAGGAAATATTGTAGAACTGAATCGGTTAACTATTCTGAACAATTTGCACAAGAAAAAGGCTCAAACATTTTATGATCGTAAGAAAAATGCAAGAATCAAGAGCAAAACAGATGTGGAATTTCAAGCAATTGCCATGGAACACCAGAAGAATGTGTCGTTGCCAAACATCACCACAAGCAATGTCTATTACAAACGTCAATTATCAATGTACTCTTTTAATATTCATGCATTGGGTGATGCAAGCTCCTATTTTTACACCTATCCAGAAACCTGTGGACGTAAGGGTTCAGATGAAGTGGTTTCATTTCTGTTTCAATATTTAACAAACCACCTGGATAGTCGTGTAAAGCATTTAGAAATATTTTGTGATTCAGCAGGTGGACAGAACAAGAACTACACAGTGATAAGGTTTATTAATTTTGTTGTCCATAAAATGAAACTTTTAGATTCTATCAAAATTACTTATCCAATATGAGGACATTCGTATTTAGAATGCTATAAAAATATGGGCCTAATCAATCTAAAAGCTCACATTGAAGTTCCATACCAGTGGTATGATTTGCTGAGAGTAAGTCCCCAAAGACCCAAACCCTTTGTGGTGATTGAGGTAGGAATAGGTGAACACATAAGAAAATTTTACAATTTTTTAAAAAAATCTATACATGAAAAAATGCTCATTTCCTATTCAGTCCCTAAGAGAATTGAAGTGTGTACGAGAACACCCTAGAGTTATTTTACACAGAAGTAATTATAATGGTTTATGGGAGAAATCACCTATTGTGGCAAAAAAGGAACCCGGGCCAAATGACACATCAAATGAATTTGAATTGCCAGATTTTGCCTATATCAATTTCTTACCCATTAGTGCAGAAAAGTATAAGGACTTAATGGATTTAAAAAGATTTTATTCTGAGGGGGCCCAATCCTACTTTGAAAGCATTCCTCATGCATAATCAGCAATGCATTTAGGTAGTTGGACATTCCTTGTATGGGACACACTGGACATTCCCAGTTTTTGTATGTAGTTTTTTATTATTTTCAATTTTTTTATTTCCATAAAAGTATTTTTTCTTTCTTAAATTAACACTTTAAAAGGTAAACTTAACTTTTTACTAGCAGTGTATAAGTTTTAAGCCATACCTAAGAAAATTGTTAACTTTGAAATATAGAAATGTTAATTACACAACTTTTTGTTTTTGTGACATTTCTTGTTTTGCCCATGTACCCTTCAATTATCATCATCAACAGCAACGGGTTTATTTAAGCCCATGGCTGGACAGGTCTTACGAATACGCCAATTGCTATACTCGCTCACCAAGTTGAGTAGACAGGTTGGTCAGCGCCGACAGCTGTTACTCCCATTCTGGTGATGTTCTCCATCACCAGGTCTGCGGTTGTATAAAGCATAATACAGCAGTTTAATGCTGCATTCAGCTGCTATCTTACTCTAGTGTTATGTGAAAACGTGGTCCTTTTACGGTTCAGCCAAATCATTCATGCTACAATCATAATATAGCTTTTGTACATTGTGTACATGGTAGAAAATATAGGTAAGAATATACTCTATTTGTGGACTGCATACATTTATAAGATTTTTGAGTTTAATGATGAGTTTTGCGTGCACACTAATTCCTGGCAGATTGCAGGTAATACAAGGTTGGAGCATACTGCACCTAGAAGGCTTAAATATATCTAAATCTTATTAAGAAAAGTAATTTACGCTGCCTTCCATTAATTATTATAATTAATGTTCCGATACGATTGGACAGACGTCAGAAAAATAACGACATACAGAATCACGCAGTCCTTAATTATTACAAACGATCTCGTAGCGTAGTGCCCTATTTGTCACAAGCATTTCGTGGACTAGATGAATGTATTAAGCCAAGACTCGTACATTATTCGATTAAACTAATTTAGAATTAATTTAAAACAGAACCGTAGCTTAGGGACTAACCGCTCGCTGTGAATTTCACAGTACGCAAGCAACCTGGGTTCGAACCCACTGGCATCAAAGTTAAATGCAATTTTTATGTGCTGATTTACTACGTACTCGGCGAAGAAGGAAAACATCGTAGTATAGTCATTTTATTTCATAAACAGTGTATTACCGTCACAGCCTATTAAAGTCTACTGCTGGACATAGGCATCCCCCATAGAATGGTAGGGGGGTATTTGCTACAGTTGAAGCTGGGGGTTGGCAACCATAGCTTTTATTTTTAGTCGTTATTATGAAGACGCTGCTGCCCATCTCCTGTTTTGTTTCCTTTTGTCACTTCTTACGACACTCACGGGATCAATCATTAAATTGGATATTGGGTAGTGGATATTCTTAGACCGTCGCTACACGTTAAAACGCTTAGGACGTCACACATCATCATCATTATTAAAACCCTTCACAAATCCACAGCTGAACAAGGGTAAAAGAAGGAATGCAATAAAGCACAGTCCTGACCCACCTGCATCCATCGACTTCCTGCATGTCTTACCTGGGATGCCCAACACTTCGCCTGCCGGTACGAGGCTGCCACTTGAGAACGTTTTTTCTCCATCGGTTATCGGTTCTTCGAACAATGTGGCTGGCCCATTGCCACTTCAGTTTACTAATCCGTTGGGCTATATCGGTTACTCTGGTTCTGGTAAAGGCTACTTATTTAGTACCGTCGTAATAGGTAATTTTTTAGACATAATATAAAATAAAATTAACATTATGTGATCGCACTAACTCCCTTAACTGCATAAAATTAATTAACAATTAATTATTCATGCAAAATTTCTATTTAATCTACTCGACAATTTATTGTAAAATGATTATATATTATAAAATATATTGGGAACTATTCCCAAACCTACAAAAACTTTGCTCAACATGACAGTATTGTACCAGTTACGAATTAACTTGTTCCATTCTCTATTTTGTTGCACATAATTTGGTGGATTTGATTTACAAACAAGTGAAATTTAAATTAAAAAAATTCTACTTTTTAAAAATCATGTTTTTGCATTCTTATCCTAATTTAAGATATATTCAAAATTTCAAGTTTCCAACCCGTTAGTTTAAAATCAATCACTAAATTCCACCTGGAACCACAGACAAACAAGAAAGTGACTTAATAAAAACGTTGTAAAATGTACATAATATTTTGCCAATATCGTAGTTTCACTTGATAAATTTAATAAAAGTGTAGACGAGACTCTTATTTAAAAATTATTGCTCATTTTTGAATAAAAGCTTTTATGCAAGATTTTATAGGAGCGCAAAGTAAAATTGTTCAGCTGTTTTATGTTCCGGTCTTCTTTTAAGCTTCTTAAATCATCGCTTGAGGAGCTGATTTTGCTCTCTTTTTGTTCAATCACAACTAAATATCTGATAAAGAATTGTACATAAAAGGGATCAAATAATCGGTACATATTATTAACAATTTTATAATTTGACAGTGTATTGGCGGTGTAAAAATATCCACAATTCATGGTAACTATGTCAAAATACCCCACATGATACAATCTATGGGAAGGTTTATGTTCAGCGTTGGTTTGTTATAGGTTTTAATGATAATTAAGAAGATTGGCCCCAAAATGGAGCCTTTTGGCACATCTCATACCTACAGAGGTGTGTGCCACAAGGGTTCATTTTAAATGATTAATATTTATTATGAGAAAACATTTTGTTACTGCCAAAAATATTTTGTAGTAACAAGTGGTTAACTTTTATTGGTTAAGAGAGATCACTGAAAGCCAAGTTTATAACTGACTATCTTAAGTCTATTTGTGTGATTAGTGACCCTGTTAAATTGAAAAGCTGCTTACTTAATTTGATTTTGTGTTTTAACTATGTTAACAGCCATACCCTAGTCGTAGCTCAAAGAGTGGATGCGGTACGCGTGTGGTGTTGGTAGAGGTCTAGTTTAGTCGTCGTTGAGATGTAACGGGGATGAATAAACATGAAGATGAGTGCTAATAGAAATAAAATGAAGTGTGGTATACATTTATTGCGTAACGAATGATAAAAAAGGTTATGGCTCTTGGACATTTTATTTTTTGTTGTAAGTAAAGTTTCCTTTGAATTGATCCAGTTGAAGTAGAATTAAGTATTGAAGAAGTTCCCGAAGGTATTGCCAAGCCTTCATACTCTTAGTCACTTGTTATTACTATTTGGTCGCATTGCACGTATTGGTACGTAGGAGCGATGAACATTTAGGAGCGATGAACATCTGATAGTGTGGTGAAAGGACTTTGTCTCGTAGTAAAAACTACTGTTGGTCGCCTTGGAGCGACCTGATGGTCGTTGTCCTTATAGTAAATCATATCGCAAGAAGTTATGAATATATGGAGAAAGAGGAACGCTTTATGATGAATACAGATTATAGACCTGGTTGAGCCCCGACGGTTCAACAAAACATAATATAAACGTCATTATGACGACCAGACGAGAACTGTCCGGTGATGTCTCAGTGATCGAGAGCATGAAAACTAGGACAGCGATCACCTAATGGTGAGAGGCACACTGAACCTAAATTTTATGTTGGAGTCGCGTTTAATGAAGTCAACGCTCCGTCCCCCTCGTACTCTAAACTTTCAGCTCGAGTTACAAAGTCGTTTTCAGTGCCTAGAATATTCAGCGTTCGGAGACAAGTTCTGTAAGAGACGTTGCAGAAGTACACAGAATTTGATCACACTCTTAATCTCATGGCTGTTATACTAAAGATGAAGCTGCTGTCATCGGCAGATTTGACAGCATACAGGCTACTGAAAAGACAGATCTCAAAATGCATGCGGTGGGACTTACGCAACTTTACTGCTCGTATTGAAGAAGCGATCGAGCGGAACCAGGGCTCCAAAGTCTTTGTCAAATATCTGTCTGCCAGGAAGAGCCAATAGGCAAAGCAGAAGACTGAGTGTGGTAGCGTCGTTTCCGGGACACCAGAGATTTTGATTGAGATTAAAAGGTTCTATGGGCATCTGTACACTTCATCGTTGGAGCCACACGCAAGTATGAGTAACCATCCAAGAGTAAGTCCTATCCGACACGTTTCCCATGATATTACGGACGTCAGTTTGAGCGAGATTAGAATGGCTCTCCTGCACCATAAAAACGGCAAGACCCCAGGCGAGGATGGAATTACAGCGGAGTTTCTGAAAGTGGGTGAAACACCAGTACTTAAAGTCCTTCAGAAGCTCTTTAATTCCGTCCTCCATTGTGGCACTACTCCGAAGGCGTGGTGCAGAAGTGCAGTGGTCTTGTTCTTCAACATAGGTGACAACGCTCTATTGAAGAACTACAGACAGATTTCGAACGATTCGACCAAAGAGTATGTGGACTATGAGAAAGCCTTTGATTCCGTCGAAATTTGGAAGGTGCTACAGCCCCTTCAGCGGTACTAAGTTGACTGTCGGTATTTCGATTTGTTGAAGTATTTGTACAGTAGAGTTACGATGGCTATCCGAGTACAGAATCAAAGTACGAAATCTATCCAA